GTTTATTAGATTTGTAAATATTGTTATTTACAAATAATATTGTAAATATTAACATTGTAATATCAAATATTATCTTTCTCACACTTGATACGTGCTAAGATAGTACAAATCCAGCTCAGGTTCACAGTGCCTGGGTTCCCAGCATGCACAGTGATTGTGTCTGAGTTCTGTGCTCACACAGCCCATTTCCTTTGGATTTCAGGTCACTTCAGTCAGCTCCTCCTCGGCCAGACACTGAGCCCAGGGACTACCAGCAGAGAGGCTTCTCCCGTGGCATGCCTTACCCTCCAAGAGCTGTGCCCATGGTAGGAATCAGCTGCCTTCCCTTGCTCTATTTGTTACTCTCAAGTAAAGAGATGAAGGCAGTTGCTCTAACTTTTGCCCTAATAAAAGCTTTAAACTTACTTCTTCACTTCTGAAAATGATGTTTCTCCTTGATAAAAAGCAGAGAGAATATTTGTTTTGTGGGGGGCTCCTCAGTTTCCCAGTTTAGGTGTTGTCCCAGGCTGTGCTTGGTTTACCTGCTTTGCTGCTCCCTTTTCCCCATGACAGATGCCCAGCCCTCTGTCCTTGTCAGAGCAGTTGTCCTCTGAAAGCCCCAGCCAGCCCGAGCACACTCCCAGAACAAACCAAGTGCTCTTGTGATCAGCCTTTCTGTCTTTTTCCAAATCCAGCAGTTTCCACAGTGCTGTTGCTTCTTCCTACTGAGTTTCTCAGAGGAAAACATTGCCAGACTGTTGTGCAGCCTTCTTGACCATCACTTATTTAGCGACACGAATATTTCGATTCCCTGACGTAAATATTTCGATTCCCTGACACAAAATATTTCGATTCCCTACGTGCAATTGGTGACCGTTCTCTTTGTGTTTTCTTTGTAGGATATGCATCCCAACACCTTTCCTGTGCCAGCTTACCCAGTTAACCAGCACCCTCAGCAGGCTTTCCACCAGCCCTACTACTCCCCACCGCAGTATCCAGTGCAGCAGCCACCGAGGGTGCCCAGCAGGTCAGTGCAGTTACTGCAATGCCCCCTGCCAGGGGCACTGATGGCATTTCTCGTCCTGGCTGTCACTCCTGGGGTGTTCCATCGTGTGTTGTGTGTGAGTGGGGCTGGTTTTTCACTGGGGGAAGTTTCTCCTTCACTTCACCCTGGAAGGCAGCGCGCTCATCGTGCGCTGTCACGGCTGTGTGGTGATGGACGAGGCTCAGAGCGCTGCTGTGCAGGCAGATTAGCCCAGCAGGTGGATGAAAGGCCTGTTAAAATAGTCAGTTTAAAATCAAATTACTCACAAATCTGTCATTGTGCTGATTTGTGAATGCTATGGCCAAGTGCAAAACCATTTCTCTTAACTTTGAGCAGGAAGTTTTCCTGTGTGTTTCATCTTATTTTGAGTTGTGCTTGTGAGATGCAGTGCTGTGCTGTGCCACACACAGACCCAGCAAGTGCCAGAGTGGGAGCATCCTAATGTAGCTCATTTTGGTAGGGCTCTTGGCCTGGGGGATCTTCAGAAAATTCTAGAGAAAAGGTGAGTGTGGTGGCCACATTTCTCTTCACAGAGAAAAGCAAGGCACAATTCTTCCCAAGAATATTCCTGGGTTTCACATTCTTTGGACCTCAGAGAAAGGAAAAACAATTCTTATTGTTTTTCTACCACAAAAGTAGAATGCAATATGGAGATTGTTTGCCCAGAGTGATGGTGTTTTGTTTCCTTGGCCTGTCAGGGCCAAGTGTGTAACCCCACATTTCTTTTCACAGAGAAAAGCAAGGCACAATTCTTCCCAAGAATACTCTTATCTCATTTGCTGTGATTGTGTTTTGCAAAAGTAGAATGCAATATGGAGATTGTTTACCCACAATGATGGTGTTTTGTTTCCTTGGCCTGCCAGGACCAGGTGTGTGTGTGTGTGTGTCAGGACAGTCACGAGATTCTGTACAGTGTGAGCAGAGTTGAGTGCTTGGCAGATTCAGTTTAGATGTAATGTAATATGGTATAGAATAAGATGTGGTATAGAATAAGATGTGGTATAGAATAAGATGTGGTATAGAATAAGATGTGGTATAGAATAAGATGTGGTATAGAATAAGATGTGGTATACAACATAGAATAATATAGTATAATAAAGTAATCAATTAGCCTTCTGATAAGATGGAGTCAGATTCTCTCCCCTCATCAGGGTTCCCTGTGGATACTAAAGGTGAGTTTTACCAGATGGGGGTTCCCAGAGGATTTCAGGCCATTGAAGGCACGGTCTGAGCCTGGCATGTTTGCAGTGAATCTCGGTGTCTGAGCGGGCAGGGTGGGGTGTGAGGCTGTGGCACTGACTGCTCCTCCTGTGTCCCCTGCAGGCCTCCACCCCCGCAGCAGAAGGTTGTACCTCAGGGAGCGCCTCCAGCACAGCAGAAACGTTTACCTCAGGGACAGTACTTCCCCTCCCGACCGGCACCTCTGCCTCCCAAGTAGCTTCCTGAGCTGTTGGCTGCTGAAATTGCAGTTCCCCTTCTGGCATCCCGTGGCAGTGCAGTGCCGGCAGCCTCCCTCTGCAGCCTGGGACAGGGCAAACGAGAGATCCCGAGCAGGAATGTAGAACTTTACACTCAATAAATACCTCGACCAAAGCTCCAGGGACTGAAACACCCGGCCCGTCCCTCGCTCTGTCCAAGCTTTGCCGCTGCAGCCAGGCTGGCAGCAGGAGTGCAGCAGCCTGCAGGGAAATAGTCCTGAAATCCAGCACGTGGCTTTGGGCTTCCCCATTTCTGCCACGAGCCCTGGTAAGGAAATTGTCTGATTTGTTGTTGTCTCTCTGACTGTGCAGTGAGGAATTGGAGTAACCCGTTTGCAAAGCAAGGAGATCTGTCAGTTAATTTACAGTTACTCTGCATGGACTGGGAAGGGTTTCCCATGTACATCTTAATGGCATAAATTGAATGAGGTCTCAGAGGACTTTTTCAGGAAGAGAGATCTATTTTAAACATGTTTATGCATGTATATATGTTTATAGATGCATAATAATGCACTTAAATTCTTAACTCCATGCTGACTGACACTAAGCTGTGCTGTAGGAGCACTGAGTTTAATGCTTTTTAATTAGAGAGTGGCTAAACGAGACTCCTGTACTAATTCCCACTAATACAAGGATGGGCAGTGAAGATAAAGGTACGAGAAGACACGGCCATATTCTGGTTTTAAAAAATGGGCTGCTGCTAGGTTTTAATTGAGGTCTAAAGACAGCAGCAGTCCCTGCAGAACACTGGGAAGTGGGAAGTGTCTCTGCCTGGACCACCAGAGCTTCTCTGAGGACTTTAAATGGGAACCTGGTGGCTCATGCACCCTGAATTTAACAGCCAAGCCCTTGTAGTGTCAGTCAGGGCTGCTGTGTGTCAGACTGGGCTGCCCTCTGCTCCTGCACCGTGGGCTGGACTGGATTTTGGAACTCCTCCTGAGCAGAGGTGCTCAGCATCCACTCTGCTAGGAGAGGGAGCTGGAGATCCTGATCCTGTGGTGCCATGGGTAGAAGCTGGATGTCGTGGTCACAAATAGAAATCTATTGCACAAGTTGCTAAAAGTGAGGTTCTATTGCACAAACTTGCTAAAAGTGAGATAAGTGCTGAAGAGCCTGCTGGGCTGTTTTGCTCTGTGCTTGCCACGAGCACAGCTCAATCTGTAAAATCCCCCTAATATTGCCAAAAAATAATCTTTTTCTCTGTATATACATACATAAATATATATATAGTGTGTGCAGTAATAAAATACTTGAACTCCTGTGGTTTCCCATAACCTTAGATTAAGATTTATAACACCGTTAAAAATCTGTAAAATGTCACCTAGAATTTCACCAACTGTACTGGTGGGGGTCTCCTTTTTTGTTCCAAGATAATCAATTACTTCCTAATTGTGTTGCTGTGACCCGCTCTGCCTGAGTGGGCAGTCTGTCTGTCTGTCTGTCTGTCTGTCACAGTGAGCTCTGCAGCTGGATGCAGCCCATCTCCAGCCCTGGTCAGAGGGTGGGGAAAAGAGGAGGGGATCCAGGGAATGAAGTCATCCAGAGAGATGTTCTTAACTGTGCGTGTGAACTAAACTATGCTGAACATGGTGCCTTCATAGACAAAGAGTTTTTGTACTCCCGGCGTGCCCGTTGGAATAGCAGGGATGTGTGGTGTGAGGAGCCGTGCCATGGACAGGAAATGGCTCCAGTTTTTGCTGGTGGATGCTGAAGATGACTACTGACTTTCTTTTGTAAAGTGTAGGGATACCTGTCCCGGGCAGGTCGGCAGCTGTGTCCCCCTCTGCAGCAGCCCCGCGCTGCTCCCTGGCCCAAGGGCTGCTCCCAACCCCTTTGTACAGCCCCAACGAGCAATAAAGATGCCAGTTTTGTACAAATCTCTGCCTCAGCCTCTGCTTTAAGGGGTGGGGAGGCTGTTACTGGTGGGGCTGTTACCTGTGGGCAGTTACTGGTGGGCTGTGGGGCCGTTACTGCGGGGCGGTTACCGGCTGGCCATGGGGCCACTTTGTGCAATGCCACCAGTGCTGCTCCTGCTGCTCCTGGAGCTGCTGCACGAGGCTGGGCAGGGCCCCCCAGAGCCCCCAGCCCGCCAGGAGTGGGCTCAGCCATGGGGGTCTCTGTCCCCTGTGGGTGGGCAGGTCTGGTCCCAGATCACAATCCCGCAGCAGCTGGGGGCCAGCACAAAAGGAGAGGAGGGGCTGAAGCAGGCACGGTGCTGGGGGGCTCTGGGGAGCCTGGGGGAAGGAGGGTTCAGCTAAAGAGGAGGGCAGGGGCAGTGCAGATGTGGTGGCAGCTGTAACAGAGGCTGGGGGAAGGGAGGGTTCAGCTGAACAAAAGGGCTGGGGGGGCACAGATGTGGTGGCAGCTGTAACAGTGGCACTGCCAGCACCACGATGGCTGCAGCCACGCTGTGCTCCCCCTTTGCTGTTCACAGCAGGCCTTGGATTGTGCTATTCCCAACTCCCTGTTCCCATTTCTCCCCTTCTCTGCTTTTCTGCATGCACAAGGAGGCAGTGTCCTACACCCTGAGGATCGAGGGGAAGCCTTACACCATCCACCTGCAGCAGCAGTGAGTTGGCCCTGCCACTGCCCTGGCTGCCAGTGCCTGCCCTGCTCCCTGGTGGCTGCAAGAAGCTTGAGAAGCTCTGGGTGATGATGGATGCTGCTGTAAGTACCTCACTTTGTGCCTCTCTCTTGCAGTGCCTTTTTATCTGATGATTTCCAGACTTATGTGGCCAGCGAGCAGGGATCTTTGCACTCTGATTCTGCCCACGCTGAGGTAACCTGGCCTTGCTTTGGGCTGTGTTTGTCCATGTTGGGCTATGCTTGGGGTTTGTTTGTCTCTGCCCAGGGCAGCTGCTCCAGCTGGGGTGGTGGGTAAGGGGATGGCTTGCCCAGCCATGGAAGGGCTCCCTGTCCTCTGTCATGTCACAGGGAGGCTGCCACTACTGGGGCTACATCGATGGCTTCCCCAGCTCAGCAGTGACCCTCAACACCTGCTCAGGGCTCAGGTAAAGCACCAGCCCCATCCCTGTGCTGCCCTCCCTGGCAGCCTGGCCTGCAGAACAGGCAGCTGTGCCAGGGGCAAGTGGGCAGTGCTGGTGCCCTGGCAGGGGTTTGCTGCAGTTTGAGAACGTGAGCTACGGGATCCAGCCCCTGGGCTACTCCCCTGCCTTCCAGCACGTGCTGTACCGAGTGGGTGAGGAGCAGGTGGCAGCAGCCCCCCCTGCCCACAGCCCCCCTGAGGCAGGGCAGGGTGGGCTGGCAGCCTGGGACCTGCTGGACAAGGCCCCCAGGGATGATGAGGTGAGCGGTGCCTGTTCTCCTTGTGCTGCTGCTGTCCCTGTCCCCCTGTGAGCAGGGACCTGATTCTGCTGGAAGGTCTCCTGTCTGTCTTTGGCCAGACACTTGGACACCAGCTTTGAAGAAGCACAGCCAGCAGCACCTCAGCATTCTCTGAGGTGACCAGAGAATGCAGAATCTGTACTTTGAAGCCCATTTTCTCTTTTAGCCCCTCCCGGCAGCTGCACAATCTCCCAAATACCTCACAGTGTACGTGGTTTTGGACAAGGCTTTGGTAAGTCCATGCCAGCCACTTTTCCCTTTTCTTTGCCTGACTTCTGTGAGCATGGGAATGGTAACATTCCCCAGCTTTTATGTGGATTTATTTTCTGTTTTCAAAATTACACGTGCCGTGGATTTTGTAGGAAATAAGGAACGTGAGTTTGTAGCTCATGTCTCCGTGGCTCAGTGTTGGGAATCATTTCAGTGCTCCAACACTGACATGCTTCACCCTGGTAAGCACCTTGTCTGCCTTTGTGTCCCCTTGGGTTGTTTTTCAGTACAACTATATGGGATCAGACCCGAATGCTGCGACACAGAACATAATCCAGGCCTTCAGTTTAATCAACAATGTGAGTTCTTAAGTCTGGTTTGTACTGCAGTGAGATGGGGGATGAGGGGGATGTTGATGTTAGCAGTGGCCACCTCTTTTCTAGCTGCTTTTAGGTTTAGGAGGATGTTATGTAAAAAATTCCATGTTTCCTGGGAAGGTTTTTCCTCTGGACATGTCAGTCTGCCACAAAAGAACATCTTTCCCTGTGTGATGGCCATGTCCTGTGCAGAGGTACAGAAAAACAGGCAGTTTGCCACAGGGCAGCCAAACCCTGCATTTTGAGGACTCCTGGGTTGCTTCCCTGTCCCCTGATCTCACTGATCCAATTCACCTGCTTACTCTCAGGTGCTTGTAACCAACTTCCAATCCTGTTCTTTACTCCACTGCTGGTCTTATGCTTCACTTCTGTAATGAGAAGTTATTCCCCAAACCCCTAACCCTTATGAAGTTATTGGAGTTTGGCTCAGGCCTCTTTGTTCTTTAGGTGTGTTCATTCTTTTTGGCTACAGATGTCATTGAGGCACTGACAGCAGCAATTTACTTTTCCCCTGTGTTTACTGTGTGCAGAGTGATGACTGCATGAAGGGAAGGTGTGAGAACAGATTTCCTCTCTTATTCTTTCAGATGTTTAATCCCCTTAATGTCACCATTGTGCTGTCCTCCCTGGAGCTGTGGGCAGAGGGGGATAAAATATCAACAGCAGGGGACACAAATGACCTTCTACAGCGATTTTTACAGTGGAAACAGTTGTCTCTGGAGACACAGGCACACAACATTGCTTCTCTTTTAGGGTAAGATAAAGGTTCATTAGTGTTAAAGATTACGTGGTAGCAATCAGTCAAACCAATGTAAGTCAAAACTTTGACAAAAAATGCTTTTTAAAAAAATCCATATTTCCTAAATCCTTCGAGTATTTCTTCCAAGCCATTCCTCCTAGCGATGCAGCAGCTGCAATGGTGCTGTCCATCCTTGTCACCCCCCAGTCCCTGCCAGCACCAGGCACCAGACCCTGCCCCAGCTCCCCTGGGGACAGCAAACAGGGACACCAAGGGGACTTGGGCTGTACAGAGCCAGCATCCACCCCCTGACCACAGCAGTGACCCCCCCTCTGTTCCAGGTACAGGCACCAAGGAGCCCTCGTGGGTGCAGCAGCTCCAGGAAAGGCATGTCAGAGAGATGCTGCTGCCACGGTGGCCCTGGTATGGTCCCCCCTGTCCTGTGCCTGTCCCTCAGCCGCCCACATGGCTGCGAGCTCAGCCTGGGCAGCAGCAGGAGCAGGGGTGGATGGAGCACATGGGAGGATCTGGATCTCTGCAAGGAGTGCTCAGCTCTGGCTGCTCCCCTCTCTCCTCCCTGCAGTACCACGGGAACGTGACCCTGGAGGCCTTGTCAGTGCTGCTGGCCCAGGTGCTGGGCCAGAGCCTGGGCATGAGCCCCGACAGCCCCCGAGGCTGCAGCTGCCCTGGACGAGTGTGCACCATGAGCCCTGCGGCGCTGTGAGTTTGCCTGAGGGGCTGCAGGGCTGGGGCACGGGAAGGGGGGGACAGGGGTGGCTGCGTGGTGTCCCCTTGTCAGAGGTGTCCTCCACCACTGTCATTCCACTGCAAAAATGGAATCACTCAGGCTGGAAAAGGCCTTCAGGACCATGGAGTCCAACCTTTGACCAATGACCACCTTGTCAGCTGGACCAGAGCACTGAGTGCTGTGTCAGTCATTTCTTGAACTCCTCCAGGGATGGGGACTCCATCACCTCCCTGAGCAGCAATTCCAATGCCTGAATACCAGTTATTTCAGTTATTTCAATACCATTATTTCAGTGAAGAAATCCCTGCTTTTATTCCTCTAAGAAGAAAAAAAGAATTAATTAAATAGCAATTTAGCGCTTAATTTGACCTTTGCTCTCTAAAATGAAGAGAAGAGACCTTTGCTCTCTAAAATGAAGGTACTCCAGGATGTTTTTCAATCTCTGTTAATAATGAGCTGTAGATCAGGTGAATTAATAGACCCTGGGGGCTGTCAGTGTCTGGGTGAGCCCTTGACTTGCACAGAGCTTTGGAGAGAGAGAGGGGCGGTCAATGTGTAAAGTATAAACTGATAATTGCTTTGTGTAATGTATAACCTGATCACTGCTTTATTTTAGACATCTCAGTGGGTCAAAAGCCTTCAGCAACTGCAGCATCAGGGACTTTGAGAGCTTCCTGAAGCAGGGCAGAGGGGATTGCCTTTTTGGCAGCCCCAGGCTGAGCCGCCAGTCCCGGCAGAGCGGCGCCGTCTGCGGCAACCGCGTGGTGGAGCCGGGCGAGCAGTGCGACTGTGGCACAGCCCAGGTGGGCACAGCCCTGGTGGGCACAGCCCTGGGGGGCTCAGCCCTGGGGGGCACAGCCCTGGTGGGTTCAGCTCTGGGGGGCACAGCCCAGGGGGGCTCAGCCCTGGTGGGTTCAGCCCTGGGGGGCTCAGCCCTGGTGGGCACAGCCCTGGTGGGTTCAGCCCAGGTGGGCACAGCCCTGGTGGGTTCAGCCCTGGGGGCACAGCCCTGGGGGGCACAGCCCTGGGGGACACGGCCCACGTGGGCTCAGCCCAGGTGGGCACAGCTCTGGGGGACACAGCCCTGGGGGACACGGCCCAGGTGGGCACAGCCCTGGGGGGCTCAGCTCTGTCTTTGTGCTCCCAGTGCCTGTGGAGTCACCAGCCCTTGGGATCAGGAGCCCCAGTGCAGCAGGGTATCGCCAGCCAGGGGCTGTGTACAAATCACCAACAGGACAGGACTGCTGGGAACGTGCCTTGAGCTGTTTGATTTTCCAGCATCAGCCTCATTCCATGGTGATGACAATGGGGAGATGCCACCAGCTCACATCCCAGGCAGCAGACCAAGAACTTAATGTTACAACTCACTTTAAAAGATTTTTGACCAATCCCACAAAGCAAAAGCACATTGACAGTGGTTCTATCCAACCACTATAAGCACAATACCTTGCTTATTTTGAATACAATACCTGCTTGTAAGCCTTCAAACACAATGCACAGAGCTCCATTATTAAGCTTAGAACTCCCTAATATCTCACTAGATAAACTTTTCTGCAGCTTAAGGAGTTATTCTAGACAAGTGTTAATACACAGACCATTGTTCTATTTGTCCTTGCTTTTCTACTTTTTAAATAATTTTTCTGCTGACCAATCTCCTGGCTGCTGCTCAGCTCTAATCACAGTTCTGCTCTCTCTGAGGCCTTTTGCAGCTTTCCCAAACCTTTCTGATTTTATGGATTCCTGCATGGGAAGCAGCCCAGGGAGGGCTGTGTTGGGTTGGGGATTGTTTCTGTGTGGCAGCTTTGCCCGTTTGTTCTGCTGGATATTGCCCAAGTAATATGGGGAGAGGAGGAGGAGAAGCTCGGGGGGACAACAAAATAAAATAACGTGGGTTTGCCATGTGTCCACAGGAATGCCTGAAGGACAGGTGTTGCACTCCAAGATGTAGACTCAGGCCAAGAGCAAAATGTGCCTCTGGATTATGTTGTAGAAATTGTCAGGTAAGGCAGATTTTTATAATTATAACAAAATCATTGTTTATTTTTGGACACATGGCATATTCCCATGCTTGAGGGGTAGAGCCAAACTTCCTGCTGTGCACTGGGAAAGGTTCCTGGGGCTGGGCTTCCTGGCTCAGCTCTTGGGATCCCCTGGTGGGGGAATATTACCTGGGGACTGTCCCAGGCAGTGTCACACACCTGTCACACCTGAGCACCTCAAGGGGGAGGGACCCTGAGGCCGTGGGCAGAGGGGGCTGTGTGGGCTCAGGCTGGGAGGTCAGGGAGGCTGCAGAGCCCCTCCTGCTCAGGCTGGGAGATCAGGGAGGCTGCAGAGCCCCTCCTGCTCAGGCTGGCAGACATGGGAGGCTGCAGAGCTCCTGCTGCTCAGGCTGGCAGGTCAGGGAGGCTGCAGAGCCCCTCCTGCTCAGGCTGGCAGACATGGGAGGCTGCAGAGCTCCTGCTGCTCAGGCTCGGGGGCTGCAGAGCCCCTCCTGCTCAGGCTGGGAGATCAGGGAGGCTGCAGAGCCCCTCCTGTTCAGGCTGGGAGATCAGGGAGGCTGCAGGGCTCCTCCTGTTCGGGCTGGCAAACATGGGAGGCAGCAGGGCTCCTCCTGCTCAGGCTGGGAGGCTGCAGGGCTCCTGCTGCTGAGGCTGGGGGGCTGCAGAGCTCCTCCTGCTCAGGCTGGGAGGTGATGGAGGCTGCAGAGCTCCTCCTGTTCAGGCTGTGGGTCTGTAGAGCTCCTCCTGCTCAGGCTGGCAGGTCAGGGAGGCTGCAGAGCTCCTGCTGCTCAGGCTGGGAGGTGATGGAGGCTGCAGAGCCCCTCCTGCTCAGGCTGGGGGGCTGCAGAGCTCCTCCTGCTCAGACTGGGAGGTGATGGAGGCTGCAGAGCTCCTCTTGCTCAGGCTGGGGGGCTGCAGAGCTCCTCCTGTTCAGACTGGGAGGTGATGGAGGCTGCAGAGCTCCTCCTGCTCAGGCTGGCAGGTCAGGGAGGCTGCAGGGCCCCTCCTGCTCAGGCTGGGGGGCTGCAGAGCTCCTGCTGCTCAGGCCGGCAGACATGGGAGGCTGCAGAGCTCCTCCTGCTCAGGCTGGGAGGTGATGGAGGCTCCTGAGCTCCTCTTGCTCAGGCTGGCAGCCATGGGAGGCTGCAGAGCCCCTCCTGTTCAGGCTGGGGGTCTGCAGAGCTCCAGCTGCTCAGGCTGGGAGGTGATGGAGGCTGCAGAGCTCCTCCTGCTCAGGCTGGGGGGCTGCAGAGCCCCTCCTGTTCAGGCTGGCAGACATGGGAGGCTGCAGAGCTCCTCCTGTTCAGGCTGGGGGGCTGCAGGGCTCCTCCTGCTCAGGCTGGCAGACATGAGAGGCTGCAGAGCCCCTCCTTCTCCCCAGTTCAAGTGGAGGAACTCGCTGTGCCGCCCGGCCGCCGATGCCCAGTGTGACCTGCCCGAGTTCTGCAGCGGCTCCTCCGCCTCCTGCCCGCCCGATGTGTACGTGCAGGACGGGCAGGAGTGCGGGCGTGGCACCGGCTACTGCTACCAGGGACGCTGCCAGTCCCCGGACCTGCAGTGCAGGAGGCTCTACGGGACAGGTAACAGGCTGGGCTGGTGGCACTGGCACTGCTCAGGGGCAGGGGTGGCCGCAATATCACAGCATCACGTACCTGTGCTCCTCAATGCACCAAGCTCAGCACAGTGGGGCACCTGGAGAGAAGGCACAGCTCTAGGAAAGCGTTTCAAGCTCTGGTTGGAAGCACAGAGTGCCACCCCCCCAGTGCTTCACAGATAATTTGCTTTTTGTTCTTTCCGTAGTTATTTTCTGTGGGCAAACTCAATTAGAGAACTTCCCCTGCTGATTCCTGAGGTTCAGGACTGCTGAGGGTTTGGGCAGGGATAGGTGTGTTTTCTCTAATTAAATAGTGAAAAATGAAGCTGTTAGATACCAGAATATGTTCCTTTGTGTTCCTTTTAATGGTACTGTTATAAATGAATTAGCTAATTTGATTAATAAGGAAAATTTATTCAATAATTAAAATACAGTCAGATAAAAGGCCACAAGGAAAGATCAGATCAGTGCTGAACCAGGCTAACAGCATCAGGTGAGATGGGGGGGCCACTAGGGCTCCACTCCTCTGTGCATCATGGAGAGACAGCTCTCACAAAGTCTTTTTTATACATTTCCATTCTCCTGAGGGCTGCTGGGAAGGGTTTCTTGCTGCTTTCTTACTGTTGATTTTATCTTTTTAGCATATTTCTGTAGTTTTTCCTTTCTTGCTGCTGCTCTTGCTGAGAGTTTCCTGAAAATGGCAAACAATTCACTTTGTTAGAAAATCTCCTGCAATATACATTCTAGGAGACACATATTTATCTTCTTGATGATGCATATCAAATGCATATTGCATTTGGTCAGATGAATAATCCTCTAAAATCAACATTTCTGGAGACGAATATTCAGGCTAGGAGACACATATTTATCTTATCAATGATGCATATTGAATGCATATTGCTGGGGTTTGGTCAGATGAATAATCCTCTAAAATCAACATTTCTGGAGACGAACATTCAGGCTAGGAGACACATATTTATCTTATTGATGATGCATATTGAATACATATTGCTGGTCTTTGGTCACATGAATAATCCTCTAAAATCAACATTTCTGGAGATGAACATTCAGGCTAGGAGACACATATTTATCTTATCGATGGTGCATATTGAATACATATTGCTGGGCTTTGGTCACATGAATAATCATCTGGAATCAACACTTCTGGAGATGAATATTCATGCTAGGATGTTGGTTCGTATCGCTGTAATCTCATCACAGGGAATTTCTGGAGCCCTCCTTTGGCACACCAGGACTTTCATTCGGTGGGATTACTCAGCAGGAATTTACACACATCATCTATTAGAGTAACAAACGTTCTTGCTGCACTTGCAGACTCCAGGAACGCTCCTGTGATGTGCTACGAGGAGATCAACGGGCAGCGGGACAGGTTTGGGCACTGCGGCTTCAAGCCCGACCGCAGCTACCGGCTCTGTGTTTGGAGGTAGGCGGAGCAGGGGGCGCTGCCTCTGCCGAAATCCACCAGGTTCTTCCATCTCTAAATCCATCTGCACTTACCCACCTTGAGAATTGGTTTAGGAAACACTTCCAAGCTGTGCTACATCCAGCAAGTGACAGGGACAGATTGTTGCAATTATTGCAATTCTTGTGTTTGTGTAAAGGCATGTTTGGAACTCTGCTATTTCACGTGATATTGGTCAGAATTGAGACTTCTTTTTATTTCTGTTTGGTGTGGAGCCAGTGTGGCATTTAAGCATTGATCCTGTAGCTAATGAAGGTCTGAATCACAGAGAAAATGCATTCTGGTGGTTCCAGTTGTGTACTAGCTGTGAAAAAAAACCTCAAACCCACACAGAAAATGCTTGCAATAAGATCTATAACACCAGTGTCACTGTCATGTTTTCTGAAAAATCCTCTTTGCCCAGGATTTTTTCCTGGGAAGCTGAGAAGCCTCAGAGAAAAAGGAAAACAATATTATCTCATTGCTTCTCCCATGTTTTGCTGTTTTGGAATGTGTTTGGAGATTGTTTATCCAACAGGTGATTGTTTCATTGGTTTCATGTGAATTGTTTTTACTTAATGACCAATTACCATCAGCTGTGTTGGACTCTGAGGGGTCAGTCATGAGTTTTTCATGATCATTCTTGTTAAGCCTTCTCTCCGTATCCTTTCTGTATTCTTTAGTAGAGTTTTAGTATAGCATTCTTTAATGCTATAGTAAATATAATAATAATAATAATAATAATAATAATAATAATAATAATAATAATAATAATAATAATAATAATAATAATAATATGAAATAATATCATAATATAATATCATAATATAATATCATAATATAATATATAAATAATAATATCATTCTATAATAAAATAATAATATAAAATATAATAATAAAATTATTATTATAATATAAAATAATAATATATAAATATATAAATAGTATATTAATAGTAATGTGATAAATAATAAATAATATAATTGTATAATAAAGTAGTCAATTAATTAATAAACAAATAAATAAATTATTTAAATAATAAACTAATAATATAATAGATTAATAAATTAGCCTTCTAAGAACATGGAGTCAGATTCACTCACCTCTGACTTTGTCCTGCAAATACCACAAATGGTGACCTCAGATGTTGGCTGTAGCCTGTGCTGAAGATCAGACCCACATGTCTGTGTATGTTTGATATACATCCTGTGCAAATTTGCTTTCCAGGGACCTCAGGTGTGGGAAGTTAATCTGCACATACCCATCCCACAAGCCCTTCTTAGCCCCTGCCACTGCTGTGATGTACGCCCGGGTGAAGCATCATATCTGTGTGTCTCTGAACTACCTGAACGTGTCCAGATGGCTGGATCCCCTTCTGGTTGCTCCAGGGACAAAGTGTGGCTCTGGAAGGGTAAGGAAATATTCTGTAATCACCTGGAATGACAAATAGAAACTGTGAATATTAACAAGATCATAGAAACACTTGTTGCTTGCAGCAGTGTGCTTGATATTTAAAAACACTGTAAAAACTTGCAAATATTGCATTCAAGGTTTGGCGGGGTGTGAGCACTAAAATGACCTGGCCTCAGGGCAGAACTGTGGCTTCTTTTTTTTTTTTTTTTTTTTAAATAGTGTGTTTTCATTTCCCTTTGGGCCATAGCCTGATATGCTGAGCGCTGTATGGGTGGGACAGTGCTGGGCTGGAGCTGCCATGGTTTTTCCCAGGTGTGTATGAACAACACATGCCACCCTCTGTCGGTGCTGGGACCCATCTGTGACAGCAAAACAAAGTGCCACGGCCACGGCGTGAGTCCCAGGGGTGCTGGGCTGGGGAGGGCAGGCTGCACCAGCCCCCTGCACACCTGTACCCCTCCCTGGCCCTGCAGGTGTGCAACAACAAGGGCAACTGCCACTGCAACATGGGCTGGCAGCCCCCTGACTGCCAGTGGAGGGGGTCACGCCGGGGGGGCAGCTGGGACAGCGGGCTGCAGTTCACAGAGGGAGGTGAGTGGGCACCCGAGGGATGGCTGGGCAGGGCTGGCAGGGGCTGTGCCTGTCTGGCTGGACAGGCTGGGCTGGCAGTGCCCATCTGGGCTGGCAGGGGCTCAGGGGCTGTGCCCGTCTGGGCTGGACAGGCTGGGTTGGCAGTGCCCATCTGGGCTGGCAGGGGCTGTGCCCAGCTGGGCTGGACAGGCTGGGCTGGCAGTGCCCATCTGGGCTGGCAGTGTCTGTGCAGGGCTGGCAGGGATGCCCTCAGCCATCTCACATCCCATCTCCCACCAGGCCTGCAGCGAGCACTGGAGGACGGTGAGATGGCCTGGCTGGTGCTGGGCTCCAGCCTCGTCCTGCTGTTCCTGACGGCGGCCCTGGGGCTCGGCCTGTGGCGGCAGCAGGTGCCTGGCCAGTGCCATGGGGAGCGGGCGCCGGGCACCGAGGGGTGAGTGGGGCCCCACGGCTGCAGGGTGGGCCAGAGGGCCGAGGGCATCCCTGCAGAGGGGAGGGGTAGGGTGACTCCCATGGGGACATGAGGACACTGCCCGGCCTGGCCCTTGGGCAGAGGTGACCTCAGGCTGAGGCACCCCTGAGCCAAGGCAGGGCCAAGGCCCCACTGCAGATCCCCCACAGCAGCAGCCGGGACACGGGCAGGGAGCTGGAGCCAGACCTGGAGCGAAACCTGGAGCCAGAGCAGGAGGTAAAACGGGAGCCAGGCCTGGAGCTACATCAGGACCCAGGCCTGGAGCTAAAATGGGAGCCAGACCTCGACCTAAACCGGGAGCCAGACCTGGAGCTAAAATGGGAGCCAGACCTGGAGGTACAGGAGCCAGAGCTGGCCCCGGAGCTGCAGACAGACGTAGAGCTGGAGCCAGAGCTGGAGATGAAGACAGACACGGACCCACCAGCAGAGCCAGCGCTGGGGCAGCACCACGGGCACTAATTAAAGGTGTTGGGCAAAGCTGGAGTCATGGCCAGTGCCCCGTGGTTTTATGTTTACGTAGTTTATGTTTTTTTATCAGATTTAACCCTCTCTCGGGGCCTAGAGGCCACAGCTGCTGAGATTGTCCCCTTTTCTCTGTGGGCACACAGTGGTGGTTGGGATTTGCCCGTCTGTGTGAAGCTGCCTGATGCTGGGGGCTGTTCAGCAGCGCTGGCTCGGGCACTGGGGCTGCCTCTGAAGTGACCCTCTCCTGTGTGACTGTGGATGTGTGTGGCTCATGGCTCCCCTCCTCAGAGCTGGGGACCAGGGGAGGCCACTGCCTCGTGTGGTGGCCCTGGTGCTGACTGTGAGTGAGGGTGTCACCTCTGTTTTGTATGTGAAGTCAATGTTTCCTGCAGTGCCCTCGGACCTGCACCCCACAGGGGTGTCAGTCCTGCTGTTTGTACCCCTGTCCTTCCACCTGCACCCCACAGGGGTGTCAGTCCTGCTGTTTGTACCCCTGTCCTTGCACCTGCACCCCACAGGGATGTCAGTCCTGCTGTCTGTACCCCTGTCCTTGCACCTGCACCCCACTGGGATGTCAGTCCTGCTGTTTGTACCCCTGTCCTTGCACCTGCACCCCACAGGGGTGTCAGTCCTGCTGTTGTACCCTGGCCCTTCCCTTCCCCTGCACTCCCAGTGCCTCCAGCCCCAGCCCCTGCCTGCACAGGCAGCATTCTCAGGGCTGATTTTCCCCCAGGAAGCTGCTGTTTGGGAAGGCCTTGCCCAGAGAATCCTGCTGGCACCCCACTGGCAGCCCCAGTGACCCCAGCAGCATGGGGAAAGCATTTTTCATAAAACATGTCTGTGACAGGTATTGGGAAGATATTGTAAATAATGTACACGTAGTTTTTAGTATAAAAAGTTAACACCATCCTGAAGGCAGTCAGTGTGCCTCAACCCAACCTGCCAGACAGAACTCAGCAGGTCAGAGAAAGAATGTTATACATAAGAAATAATAAATAACCTTGAGAATGAGAACATAGGAATCCTGACTCCTCCTTCATGTGCTGGGCTGGGAAAAGGAGACTTGTACATATCTCAGAGTCCCTCTGACCAGCAGATATTCTGAGAGTGCCTCCCAGCCCACAGGAGCCTGGCGGCCCTTTGGGAGGAGTCAGCTCACAGCCCCTGCTCCCCACAGACAGGTGACCCAAGGCTTTCCCATCCACGGGGACAGAGTTTAATGCAGGGCTCTGAGGCCACATATCATGTTGCAAATTGTAGGATAGATCATGATAGGAACAGTGCAATGAGGAGGAAGGTAAGGGAGTAGAAGTCTGTTTTGAGGCTGATGGGGATTTTGAAGTTTATAATGGATTTTCATTCTCAGAAGGAGGTGAGGCTTTCTGTTCCGGAGGGGATGTAGATTGTGGTGTTTGCTGCAGACAAAGCCTTATCAGCAACCTTTAGCCGTGTTTGCTCAGACCCTCTGGCCATTGGGCAGCCAGACTGGCCCCCCCAGGCCCAGGTGCTGGCTCAGCACATTCTGCCAGCACCTGGGCCAGGCCAGAGCAGCCCTGGCAGGCAGGGCCAGCCATGGAGGGCAGTGCTGACACCGAGGAGCCCCCGCTGCTGCCCCTGGCACTGAGCAGCTTCCACATCTCCGAGGAGTTTGGCTTCCTGCTTCCCGAGCCTCTGGTAGGAGCTGGCTGTGCCTCCCCGTCTGCATGCACAGGAAATAGAGGGGTTGGTGAGCAGCTTTCTGGTGGGGGAGCTTTGGTTTAGCATTTTGCTGTAGCGCTTTCCAAAGAGCTATGAGGAAGGCAGGTGCTATTCTGGCACAGGGAGTTTCACAGGACAAACCTCTACCCTTGAAAATGATGCAAGCAGCTGCAGCAAGCAGCACAGAGGAGAGGTGAAGGAGCTCTGACTGGCCTTGGCTCTACAGAATTTAGGGAGCACAGGTGTCCTGTGCCCAAAGTGGGGCTATTTATCACTTGTAGGAATGTGTTTCTTGTTGACGGAGTGACAAAACTATCTTTTGTTTTTTTAAAAAAGGAAAGAAGCTTAGAAGATTTTATTTTATTTTATTTTATTTTATTTTATTTTATTTTATTTTATTTTATTTCATTGTTTTAAGAGATTTAGCTTTAAACTTAAGGATAGCTAATTGGACAGAAGCTAAAAAGTTTTGCCTAAGTAATTAATTTAAAAAAAACCCAAATAAATTAATCACTTTTATAAAGTATTTTACTAAAAACAAAAACGTTTAACATCTAACTTAGTTTTTTTTGTTTGTTATTTTGCTTTTTATAAAACTTTTTTATTTTTAACACTGTAACAAAAGCTATTTTGTTAATTTTTATGCTTTTAAAAGTAGCTAAGTTATTTCAAGTGTGTTACAAGCCTCCAAAAACTTATTAAACATAACTCAAAAAAGCTACTATAACAGCTGGGAGCCTGGGCACGTTCACAGCCCTCCCTTTGCCTCTCTCCACCAAGACAGAGCTGCCAGCAGCCTACAGCCCCTGGATGGACATTGCCCATGAGCTGCCCCAGCTGATCACCGGCCGTCAGCTCCGCTCACGCGTGCACCAGGTATGGCCTTCTCCTTCCTGCCCCCAGAAGAGCTCTCTGAAACCTTGCTCTGACACAGCAGCATCTGTAAAACCTGCCAAAGCAGCCCAGGTGTGTGCTGAGCCAGGGCTGACACCAGGCGACAGCAAAGTCCTAACTTTGGCACAGGAATAGCTCCTGCAGCAGATCCGAGTGCTCAGCAGGCAGCAAGGGCTGGAGCAGGGCTCCTCTAGGTGTCACAGGAGCCGTGTCTGATCCCAGCCATGCCCCTCTAGGTGTCACAGGAACTGTGTCTCCTCCCAGCTGTGCCCCTCTAGGTGTCACAGGAACCATGTCTGATCCCAGCCATGCCCCTCTAGGTGTCACAAGAGCCATGTCTGATCCCAGCCATGCCCCTCTAGGTGTCACAAGAGCCATGTCTCATCCCAGCCAGGCTCCCTGATGCCAGCTCCCAGTCAGGCCTGACCCTTTTGGGATCAGCTGCCCCATGGGCGTCCCAGCACCAGGAGGAGCAAAACCCCATGGATTTTACTCACAAAGCAGTAACAGTGCAGCAGGAGCAAATCCTGCAGAGTGGCTGGGAAGGGAGGCATAAAGAGAAGCAGCAGGAGGGTTCCCCCCAGCTGGCAGTGTCGCATGTCCCGGCTACATGGTGACAGTAGGGGGGTGACAATCGCCCTCTTCAGAATCCCAGCTGCCAGTGGAGGCACAGCACGGAACAAAAAGGCCACAGCAGCAGCACTGGGTTCCTTTATTTGATGTTACACTCCCCGAGTCTCCCAGGCAATGAGCTGGGGGCAAACAACAGCTTATACAGGGGGCAGGTCTCAAGGGAGGACACAATGTTCAGCTAATCAGGAGAACTGGGGGTGGAACACAAGGGCGAGGGATGCAAGGGAGGAAAACTGCTTGGGACAGGAGGGGTTAACAGCTGGATGTAAGAGGAAGGGGTTTTGAAACTTGGCAGAAATGTAGATAAGTAGCAAAGAGATAAACCAACTCCTGGCTCAATTGAATAACAATGACAAGTCTGTGTCACTCCAAAAGCAAGGGGGAAAAAAGCCCAAAAAACTACCCAACAACAAATCAAACAATAACCTACAAAACAAAACCCCACTACAACATGGCAGGGCAGCCCCTCCAGCACAGGGGCCTTGGCATTGCTGGCTCTGCTCCTTGCTCCCAAGGGTTTCCCTGGCAGATGCCGCAGCTGAGCCCCCAGCAGCTCCGAGGACGTGAGGAGCTGCACTTGGCACACCTGGTGCTCAGCTTCATCACCATGGGCTACGTCTGGCAGGAGGGCGAGGAGGGCACCGTGCAGGTAAAGGCAAGGTAAAGCAGGTTCACCTGCTCCTTGGGCTCTGGGAGCTGGTGCTGCTCCCCTAGCACCTACCCCATGGGAGCAAATCCCCTTTCCTGTGGCTGCAGCAGGAGCTGCTGCCTCCTTCCTGCAGCCTGACCACATGCCCGCCTTCCCCTGTGCTTTGTGACACTCAGGTCCTGCCCAGAAACCTCGCTGTCCCCTTCTGGGAGGTGTCCCAGGCCCTGGGCCTCCCGCCCATCCTCAGCCATGCAGACTTTGTGTTGGCCAACTGGAGGAGGAAGGACCCCAGCGGGTAAACAGCAAATGCCAGCGGGCAAGCATGGTTCTTCCTGCAGGTGTCAGGGACAGATCAGTGATCAGCAGGACAGACTGTTCCCAAACTGCTCCTGTTCTGCCAAAGCCCCTTGAACCCCACTTTTGCTGAGCTCAGCCTCGTGGTTGTGGACACAGGAGCTCTGTGGGGATGTGGGTGTCTCTGGGAGCAGCCCCTGGGAACAGCTCCTCTATTCCCTGCAGAGCACGGGACCATTTCAGCTCCATCAAATGGAAAAGTCATTCCTCTGCTGGGTATTAAGTCTACTTTGCACAGCAGACAGTCTCAGAGCAATGGAAAACACCTTCTGTGCCCAGCACAGATCCCAAGGTCCCCCCAAGCCCTCCCTGCCCCAATTCTGCCCAGATTTGCTCTTTGCACACACGAGTCCCATGCTAAAGTCACCGAGCTCCCTCCATACCCAGAGGGAGGAAAAGAGGGAAAGTGGATGAAGAGCTCTCCTGTGCAGAGCCAAGGTTACTAGAACAATTGTTACTAGAACAATTTATAATCTCTCTCTCTCTCTCTCTCCTTTTCTTGTGCATTTTGTTGGCCATAACTGCAATGCCTTCAGGCCTCTGGAAATTGAGTAAGTACTTACTGCTCATTTATTTTCTAACGGTGTTGGTGATTGTTTGGATTGGCTCAGCTCTGTAGCACTGCTTGGGCTGCTCTGCCTGCACAGACCATGGGGAGGGCCCCTAAACCACAGCAGTCCTGCTCCCCCATCTCTGTAATATTTTCTGGAAAAATCCCTTGGCCAGAATTTCTTCTCCTGGGAAGCTGAGAAGCCTCAGAGAGAAA